CTTCTGTTATGAATTGGCGCTATAGAAATAAAATTGAATTGAATTGAACTGAAATTAAACTTTTAAGGATCAGTAATTTGCACAACTTGTTAGTTTGTACTTCTATCACTCCCCCAAAATCCCATCCTTCGTGAAAAATCTGGATTTCTTTTCCTGAGAAAACCAACATGCACTGATATATTTTCTTCTTCCCTTGAGTGTATAAAATCTAGTAGTGGGGAATTCTCTACCACAAAATGACAACTTTCTAGCATTTCTAATCAAAGCTGAAAACAATCAATGATGAAGGAAAACAAAAAAGAATGTACTTCCTATATCACTCAGCTTCTATTTTATAATTAGACTTGCTGATAAAAATAAGAGAAAGTAAATTAGTCACACATATCATTACTTACATGTCATTACATAAGATTAAAATGGTACGTGATCACAGTATTCACTTTTGGGTAAAGCAGCAATGTTAGTGTACAACATCTTCAGTGTCTGAATCCACAGTGTTTCTATGTGTGCTGTTTCCCTTTGGGCATCGTGGTGACAAGATACTATCAGAGTGATGGATACAACCCACAGACAACCAGCCAAACACACATGCAAACACACACGCTCACTTCACCCTACGTCTAACGTACCATCAGTGGCATTCCATTAACGGTGCCTGGGCTAAAATGAAACAGCCTACTTTACTCAAAAGACACTTTGTCAAACAAATGACCTTGCCAGAAGAGTGACGCAATACTCTTGATCAATTTGGCTTTAAACTTCCACTTTCAGGAAAATAAATAAATAAAACAGGCTAGTAACGACAAATACAAAAGGAATCCATCTCATAAAATATGCCTGGAAGCTTCAGTTTGAACAGGCTGTGGACAGCAGCATCAGTCACAGGAACCACTGACTCTCAGTTCCCATTTACATGAGCTAAAATGTGCTTTTCACATATGGTTTCCAAAAGAACTTCATAAATAAAGATGGGATTTTTTTATTTTTGCAATCCAACACTTTCTAGGGAAATTTGACTTAGAATCTACACAAGTTTATAGAACGCAAAGTGACCGCTTAACCACATTTTGTCTGTTGAAGTCACTGGCCCTCTGTCCTTATATGATATAAAAACATAAAATATAAAACAACCAGCAAAAAGGAAGCCCGAATCTGTTAATAAATAACTGGATGTTCTCGGCATGCTCTACCAGGAGATTAAAGACCTCAAAACAAGCTTAGAGTTCACTTCCTAGAGAGACCATGCAGAGCTCAAACACTCTCAGATGGACATATTCAAAAAAGAAAACAAAACACTGAAGAGAAAGTCCTCGACATACAGACAGCAGAAATAACTTGTAAAGAGCAAGGGGCGTGAGCTAAAAGGAACAACATACGGCATCAGTGATCACTTTCACAGAGAAATAAATGAACTACCGAAAGTACTATATCCCATCCTCAAACAGCAAATGAACATATCTGGTGGTTGTTAAACTTTACATTGAAGGACAACTATTACCAAACTGCCAAGAAGAAAAGAGTGTCAACATAAATAATATATATTTAAAAAAATACCCCTGGACAATGTGAACATTGTCTCACCCTCAGCACATCTAAAACGGACAATTAACTGGACAAACCCCATATATTCTGCATCATATAATTCCAAAAAGTGAGGTGTTGCTATTCTGGTAAATAAATATGTTCTATACCAAAACTGCTTTGTTATTATAAATGGAGACATTAGGAATGTGAAAATAACAATAGCCAACATTTATGGGCCCAATGATGACAACCCAAATTTCTTTCATACAATATTCTGTATCTGTATTATGGAGTTCTCTGATTCAAAAATAACAATAATAATAATAATAGGAGAAGACTTCAACACAGTCCGTAATCCAAACCTAGACAGATGCAATGCAGAAAACAACTACAGGGCATGGTAGTCTTGAGACCCAATAAAATCTTATATGAAAGATTTGGGCAATTATTGATGATCGAAGAAATCATCTGATAAAGAATACACTTTATACTCATCCCCAAAAAGCTACAAAGCTCTCTGCTATATATATATCATCCATTAATTACCTAAACGTAATGACAAAATACAAACATTTCTCGCCAACCGGTTTAAACAAAACAAATAAGAAACACTGAAAACAGCAATCAAAGATCTACATGGAAACCCTAATCATAATCCAAATAACAATAACCAGATTACTATGAGGAACAACGAAAGCCTCTCCTCAAGCATCCACTTGTTTCTTGACAACATTGAACTCCCTAAACTATCCACAGAACAGGCCAACACTAGACCAACCCATAACTCCACAAGAACTCAAGAAAGTTCTCTTCTTCATGCCTAACAATAAATCACCTGGTTCAGATGGATACCCTACTGAGTTCTATAAATGGCACCTTATATGCCCACTGTTTTTCAGAATGATGAACAAAATCAAATCTTCAGGAAATATACCACCACACATGAATATCACTCTCATCTCAGCTCTTCTCAAACCCAACAAAGACTTAACACTCATCTCTAGCAACTGACCAATAAGCCCAATCAATTGTGATATCAAAATAATAAGCAAAGCACTCACTAACAGATTGGAATCAGTCATATCCTATATAATTCAGGCAATAGGAGGTTTTATAAAGGGCACAAACTCTTCCTCCAACATGTGCCTCCTCTTCAGTTTGATTAACACATTCCAAGTAAACAACTTAAACACTATTATCACATCACTAGATGCCGAAAAAAGCCTTTGGTTTTGGGGAGTCGTTCATTCAGTGGGTCAAAACACTACACCTCCTGCATCTGTTATCACCAATGTCACTTCCCAACATTTTAAACTTCAGCAAGGCACAAGGCAAGCATGTCCTCTCTCTCCATTACTCTTTGCAATCTTCATCGAACTCCTCGCAGCCTCTATTTGTCAAAACAATGATAATACAGGAATATAAACCAAACACTCCCACCATAAAATCAGCCTATTTGCAGATGATATATTTTTATATCTAACAAAAAACAAAAACATCTAATAAAGTTATCTCAAATCTTATCTCAGACTTTTGAAACATTTTTGATTATTCTATGAACTGGTCCAAATCAACAATTCGGTTGTTGTGTGTTGTTTTTGGGGAAGACTCGAGAGGGACCTGACCTGCGCAAGGCCTGCAACGTCCAACGGGTCTTGGGGCTGCCTATAGTAGGGGAAAGCAGGGACAGCTAGGAGGGAGGTGGGGAAAAAATAAATAAAAACCTGCCCTACATCGGCTTGAGCTCTGCCTTGGCAATTCCTCATCTCAGGGCACATACAGTTTTTTCCCCTCCCCGCTTTGAATTTATTTTGTGTCTTATTTTTCTTTCTCTTTTTTCCCCCAATTATAATCTTTTCACATTTACACTTCTGTAAGAAATTTGGAATTTCCTCTTCAATACCTCCAACCACTTAACCATTTCTGTACTTGTAGTCGCCTGTATTTATTTGGCTGCTTTAGTATCTTTTTATTGTTATATCAAAAATGTTTGTCTTCCTTTTTTCTAAGTCCCACGTGAAGCCAAGAAAATAAGAAAACGGATGTTTTGAAGCTGTATATTCTCTGGTGGACTAATCGTTTGTTGCAAGACAGAAGCAAAATTATTTTTCTTATCCCAGCCAACTTTTGAGGTGACATATTTACATTTTATTTTATTTAGCTTTGTTAAACAAATGCAATTGAACAAAACTCTTATGTGTAAAACGTTAATACAAGTTATTTAAGATTAGGGACTAAATAAAGGAATGAATTAATCACCCTTAAACTGATAGCCTGTATCTTATACATAGCATTTATGAAGTATTACACAACTAATTAATGTAGAATTAATCACAACACGACAGCATATAATATGCCAATGTACTGTGCATAGAATGGAGTTAAAGTTAGCACATTTCAAAGGAGAAAAGGGAAGACAAATGAAAACTCAATTAGTTTTGAAATAATAAGACACAATGTGAGAATTGAGAAATTTACAGAAAATTAATTTCAGAGACAAGCTCTTGGGTGATAAGACAGTATTTGAGGAAAATGTGAGGTCCTAAAAGGTGGATTAAAGATCACGTTGTATTTTCTTGATGTTTTTATCCCTTTTTGTTACAGACATTATTGAAAGTTGTCATCTTTGGAGTTCTTTGCAATCTATAAAGTCAAGCTGATGAGCCAAAAGTGTTTGTAAAGGACAGGACAGATCGTTAGATGGCTGGTGTTTATATTTGCAATTTTTTGCACTCTGTAAAGGACTAAAATACAGTTCAAACACAGTCTTTCAATTGTCTTTCATACTAACAAGATTTCGCTTCAATAAAGACGTTAATTATTATGTTTGTTTTTGTGGAAAAATGAAACAAGTAAAATACAAATAAACTCATTTAAATGTCCAGTGTGTAACATTTAGGAGGATCTATTGGCAGAAATGGAATATAATATGCATATGTTTTCATTAGTGTATAATCACCTAAATATAGGAATCATAGGATTGTTTTTATTACCTTAGAATGAGCCTTTTATATCTACAGATACTGCCGGTTGCCTTCTATGGTGTCTGCCGCGTTGAACCATCATGTTTCTACAGTAGCCCAGAGGGGACATATCGGAGCATTGGTGTTTTTCGGACGTTTTGCAGACCCCTACATTAGTTTTCTTTTCAGGCTTGGAGGGGAAGCTGAAGCAAGGGAGTTGTGATCTGCAACTACACTACTAGATGCCACTACATCATACACACTGGACCTTATAGTATGCATTACTGCTTTAATGTTTAGTAATTGTCTCAGTTTCAGTATGATACAGTATGTGGTGACTGTATTATTGGCTATGTACTTATATAGTATGAAAACAATGTAAAAATGTGAAAAGGGTTGCAACTACAGTATTTATTATCAAGTTTGCCATACTACTACTTAAAAGGTGGTGATATATCAGTGTTGTGTTTACATCATGTTAGTAGGTCCACCTGTGTTCTAATCTAAGGATGTTCAAGCCAAGAATGTTGTTCTTTTTCTAAATTTCTCAAATCTATTGTAAATCATTAAACTAAATAAAAGCAATGTGTGATGTTCCATACTGACATTATCGTGCATGTTTTTATAGAAAACTAAAATAACTAAGGAAGCATCTGATGAAGAAAACAATGATCCCACTTTCAGCTATACAAGGCTGTGCTTATATAATCCACAACAGCCCCCAGACTGCACTTTAGATTTGTTCATCTACTTCTAGGAAAAACTTTCTTCATCTACTTTTAGGGGCACACTCCGCTACTGCTATATATCTGTGATTTGCAGTACCAAGAATTGTGTTGAGTTGTAATTTTCTTCTTGACTGTATTCACTTCCCCCCTGAGGTGCTGACACCAAAAGCTGCTGTTTATTGTTGATTTTGAGACAGTTGAATAATTATTCATGAAAATGTCACAAAAAGCATCTTTGAAGTCATTTTTCATCTGACATTTTTACACTTATTCATTCTGTGTATTTCAGCACAATAAAATTAAAGGTTGTGAGAAAAAAGGCAGAAGAGGGATGAATCATGACATCCACGTAAGGATGAAGATAGCGAGATAGTGATAACGGCTAAAACGAGGCAGACAGACAGGACCAGGGCTTATCGGGGGCTGGTCTGTGATGTGATGTTAACAGGTCCTGGTCAAACAGTTCATTTCTCATTATCTTAATGAGATCGCGACCGCAAAACAAATACGATGAGACATGCCAGGGTTGGAAGGCATAGATGAAGTGGTCTGTGCACAGAGTGATGGAAAGAGAGGAGGAAATTGATGAGGTTAGTGCAATCAAACTGGAAGAGGGAGGAGAAAAACAGATATTTAATGGAGGGAGGAAAAAATGTATGTGAGTTTCTGTCAGCATGAACATGAAAATGTTCTGTATTTCTAGTTTTCTAGGTTTTAAAGTTTCAGTGTGTGATATATGTTCTGTGTATGTTCTGATCCACTACAGAAAAGTCAAACATGGTCATATTAAAGATCAAGCTTCCCCATGTGTGTTTGTAGAGATGGTGAAGTGGTGTGTTAGACAACGATGGAAGGATGATGAAAAATGGATGGATGTATAGAAAGTGTTAGTATCTGTGACAGCAGACTGATTAGAGAGATTATAGATGAGAGCTCAATGATCTCATGTCAAAGCTTCATGGTAGATCCCATTCAGAATTGGTTTTTATCAAGTCATTTTTCTTCTAACCATAGCCATAAAGGCAAGTTGATTCATTACCTAAACGTAACCTAATCCTTAAACATAGTGGTGTTACATGAAAAAAAATCAAATTCTTGTAATGGCCATGGGTTTTAAAAGGCACTGATATTGGTCCATTTGGAAGGCGATGACAAGCTACCTTTTATGTGGTTTAGTTAAGAGAATGAGAACATTAAGGCGCAAAAGCAAAATTACATTTATTCCTTTTATTCCTTGGTTTAAGCCAGTTGGTTGGCAGCTCTTATACATACCTTATTAATTTTGCTTTGGCTATGTGTTAGTGTTTGTAGGTGTGTATGTGTGTGTCTGCATACTTATTTGTGTTGTTCATTGTCCTTTGCGCAAACAGGTGTGTGTGTGTGAGAGAGAGATAGAGAAAGACAGAGAGAGAAAGAAAGGCAGACAGAGACATCTAAATTTGTAGAGCTTAAGAGATAGACACTGAAACAAAACCTGAGAGCCCAGGAAAGATGACTGAAAGGGAAGGAATACCACGGAGCTCTCCCCTGCTGATGGACTCAGTAGTGTATGATTCTCACACTCTCTCCCAGCTGCCATTAGCTGGTATGAAGGGTGGGAGGTCCCAGCAGGAGGGTTTGTGGTAGATGTGTTGGGAGTCTGAAAATTTTGTTGGGTGTTGATGTGTGTGTGTGTGTGTGTGTGTGTTTATGTGTGCACTAGAGGTGGTGGTATTTCCGCAGCCATTATGGGCTTGTGAATACCTGTTGGCACATTTACAAGGCTGAAACCTGCCTGAAACCTTACACCTCACTTACTTCTCTCGATATGAATTATCTAACTAGATTAGTGAAGTAACATAAACTGGGACTATAGAAATTAATCTAAATCTGAATGAATATGATTGCATGTTATCAACCACACAGCAGGGAATGAGCCAATCATGGTGAAGCAAACAGCATACTGAAACAAATGCTGAACACTGTGCTTTAATTTTTGATTCCATGCTTTCAAGTAGCAGGCTGAATAGATAAATCTAATGACATTTTTTTGTGTGTCTGTACATGGTTTTAGTTGATCTTGACTTATGTTTAACTGGGGTTATATTAGCATAGTTATTTTTTTTATATTATTAGGAAAAATCACTTGAAGGGGAAACCATTGCCAGTATTTGATCTTATCTCTGAGTGGCATACTGAAAATTCTTTTCTGGTTCGGATTTGTCAGAACAGATAAGAGTAGATTAAAACACTATGCTTTTTAGTACCGGCTAAAACTCAACAGATGATTTTATGTGATCATATTATTTCCCATTCATCTTGAAATACATATGAATTACTGATTTTCCCAGGCAAGTCACACATCTTTGACAAATGTAAATGTCACAACTACATTAGTTAGATACAGTTTAGTTCATACTTTTGATCACAATTTTTTTTATAGACATAAAAAACCTTATTAGCAATTTCATGTTAATCTGAAACTACACTACATGTCATTGAGAGAATGCCTCTAAAAGGTCATGTGATGTATTTTCAGTTGATAGTAGCATACTTACAGCTTTGACATTGGTCTTCTTTTGGTCCCCAGCAACGGCCATTACAGGAACGATGGCACTTCTGACCTGCGCACAAGTTAACAAGGAAAGGGATGATTGGCATTTCTAATGGTTACTTAAAAAGTATGATTAGTATCAGCCTTCAAATATCCATATTAGTTGAACCTTAAAATGGGCATGGGCTAGAGGCGGTTAGCTGAGTCTGTGTGCCATCAAGCACTTCACTGAAGCCCAAATTGATCTGAATAGTGAGCAGGATGTGGCTGTTCCTTTGGCTTGCCTTTAAATGCACCTAGTGTGTGTGTGTGTGTCTCGCTCTCTAAAATTTACTTTAAGTGTTTCTCTTAAGATACAAGACTTACTTATTGGTGCATTTCAAGTCCTTTGTGAATGCTTGATATTTATTATAATTAGAGTCTGACATAATAAACACAATCTGCAAGAAATGTAGGTACTTGAATACTTCACAGGACTGGTGAGTAGTTAATTTTATGATCATGATAAGGATGATGATATGTTAATTAATTTATTTATTTAAATTACTGTTTCTACCCTTACAAGTTGATTGTAATTTTTCAACATTCACTTAAACTAAAATGCAACCATGTGTTTATCGAGGTATTCTTTTTATTATGCAAGGGAATAATGAACCTTGCAGTCTTTTAGCAACAACACAGCATCTCCCCTGACTGGTACATGATGCTCCAGTCAAAACTTGAAAAACCTTGGCACAGGTTGTTTTGTGAAAATAAACTCTTTATGTCACTTCACTCTAAATCAGTCCAGCACAAAAACAGAACAAATGAGGTTGAGATAAAAGCAGTAAAGCAGCAGAAAGCAGCATCGTACCCTCAGAGCTTCAGCCAGTGCCTTTCTGGCTTTTTTGGAGGACTTAATTGACTGTCTAGTAATTGACTGCGGGGGAAGTGAGCCTGGATAAGTGCAGAAGTGCTGTCCTCTGTCCATCAGCCTCTCCAGATGAGAGCTATTAGCATCGAGACTGACTCTATTCCCCAACACGAGCCTCTCCATCCTCTGCCCTCCTCTTCTTCCTCATCTGTGCCCCTCTCCACCACACATTTCATCTCTTTCATCCTCAATGTACCCCTCGCTGCTTCATCACTCCTTTGTGATTCTCTTTCACTTAATGTCTATTCCTATCTCTCTTTGTCGTTTTCCAGTCTGTCCCTCTGTATTTCTATGTTTCTCCAGCCTGTTAATCTCAAAATAGCACTTTGACATTGCTTGAGAAAGAGAGGTGAGCAGCCTTGAATGTATGAAAAGCAGCATATAAAACAGGATAATAATACACGTTGCCAAACATAAGTGGTTGTCTGACAGTACCAAGTTTGCAAAACCTATGCTGCCCTTAGATATATCTCTGTTGCCCTGGGAAGTCAAGCCAAAGAGTTTTCATTTAGTGTCCAAGGTCTTCACTCTCTCCACTTATACATTTTCAGTGACCTAGAATAAACCTGTTCCTCCCCTCTTCCTGCACCATAATCTTTTACAGCTTTCTTAAAACGGCCCCCGAAGGTTAAAATGTCAAGAATGCTGTCATAACAGGGCTGGTGTTGAGCAAAATACAGATGTGGAAATTCAATTTAATCAATAGGGCATGGATTTTAAAATTGCTTTTATTCTTGTTTTTTAAAGGAAAGAATAAACACAATAACTGTGGCACTGATCATAAGTGTACTCATGTGTACATAAGTACACAAGTCATAAGTAATAACAACATAGAACTTGTGTCCCCTCAAAGAATGAAATAGAGATTAAGTTCTCTATTGTGGATTACATCTTTGGAGATCTTAATCTTTCGCTGGAGTATAGGACTTGCACAGGAGTAAGGGTCGATCCAGGGCTAACAGGGCTGCAGAAAGGAGGGTGATTGAGCAGAATATCAATGCTTGGAGCTGTTAATCTGCAATTGAAGCCTTCTGACAGTGCTGTGAGAAGAAATCAAATGGCTAGTTCCATAATGATAATGCATTTCATGATGTAATTTTGTATTTGTAGACAAACGAGACGAGGCAGCATAAAGGAAAAACAGATTTAAATGTCAAACAGCTTGACTACTAAATTGATAACAAACAAAGCGTGTTAAGAGGTTAAGTTGGTGAATGAACAGAAAAAAGTCAGAAGAGGTGACTTAATGCATCTTTACTTCACAACCACCTAAACCATCATCCCCTGCCTCTTGGCAGATTAAGTATGTTTATTTCACCCTATTAAATCCTGTCATAATTCTAAGCATTTATTAACATTTCTTCCAGCTGGCTACAGTAGGGCATTAATGGGATGTGAGTGAGCAATCATTGCGGATTGTTATGGTAAGCAGAGTGACAGAATGGGGTCAAGGGGTGATTTTGTGATGACAATGTTTTGCTGCTCACACTCAGTCAACTTGTTGTGAATGGAGCAGGTTAAGAAGTGGGGTCTCCTTTGGCCATTTTTCATGTCACAACATACCCACCTTTACTGCTTTATGAAAGACTTAAGAATTACAAGAATGGCTGTGGGTATATCTTTCAGAGCCTAATTTTGAGTATGCTCAGAGCTATTAATTGGAGTGCCAGGAACCTTCAGGTAGAGCTGGTGATCCTTTCAATCAAGATTATTTAAGCAATCACAGCTGATAGGTTTTATCTTTTCTAAGTCTCCTAAGTAAAAAGAAGACAGCCTTCACCTGGCCCAGTGAGGGAAATAAAAGTTTTTTATAAAATAATTGAAAAGAAAATGTGCCATGAAACAAATTATGAAATATAGCAACACTACAAACAATATTTGTTGTTTATTTATTGCAATAAAAATATAGGAAATTGAAAACAATTTTCAAGCTTTTGCAAACAAGAAGTCTCATATAATATATATGGTGAATAAACACAACACAAAACAAATTCTACCTTTTGGCTAAACGGAAGTCACTATAGTGATGACACATATGTTTGATTCCAATGAATATACATTACACATGCACTTGATTAACAAAGATAGATTCTCATAGAGAATAGCTATACAAAATTTGGTACCTTCATTTTCTTCTTGCATTTTTAGATGCGACAGGTCTCTATTAGCTGTAGGTGAAACTTACTTACTCACTCTCTCACTCACTCACGCACAGGATCACGATTAGCTAGGCGCACTCCAATACAGTTGTTTGCGGTCATGTGATTCTGAGGATGCTTGAAATTCAGAATGAAGCAGAGAGTGAAAGGCGGAATGGAAAGTTGAAAGTCTGTATCCTGAGTTATTGTTTACTCATTATGTTGTCCCAGTCAACATGTGCCTAAATCTGGAATCACCAAATTAAATTACAGCTAAAAGCCTATTTTGAGGTCACAAGTGTCACCAATTCAGTGTCTGACCAACTGTGAAATATGCTCACAATCTCCCTTCTTTCCTGGGTTAAGGTAAGTAAGTAAGTAAGTAAGTAAGTAAGTAAGTAAAACTTTATTTATATAGCACCTTTTTGACACAGAGATCCAAAGTGCTTTCCAAACAACAAATAAATAAACATAACAACACACGGAAAACAAACATAAAGCATGTAAACAAACAAAGGTAGATCAAACAAAAGGGAGGATAATTAAAAGGAGACAGCAGAGGACAAAACAAACAAGGATATCTATTAAAAAGCTTGCCTGTAGAGGTGGGTTTTGAGCAGGGGCTTAAAACTGTCACAGATTCAGTGAATCTGATTTTGAATGGGGAAGACTATTCCACAAATGTTACGCTAAAACAGCGAATGCACGGTCACCTTTAGATTTACAGGTAGGAGCGTGGTGTGAAAAATTGGCCAAAATAGTGTTTTTCAAGGCCATATAATGTCACAGTGAAGTTGACCTTTTGAACTTTTGGGTAAAACATGTCATCACCTTCATCCAATATATTTATTAAACATTCTGGTGTGAAATGTTATCATAAATAACGCACCAATTTATGTAATCGAACCAAAAATGTGTTTTCAAAGTTAAAATTCTTTTTGAAGTCACAGTCACCCAAAGAGTGTCACCATATGGCCAGTTACGGCCAAATATTTGTTTTGTGGAGGTCACAATGGCCTTGATTTTTACCACCAAATTCTAATCAGTTCATCCTTGAGGTCCAAGTGGACCTGGTTGGTAATTTTATTCAAGGAAACAAGGACACCCAAAGTTCCTACCCTTGGACTGCACTTTGCACTGCCAGTATGACCACTGAGCTACAAATGACCGCTCCATAGATTCACAGTGTCACCTGTGGATCCTAGCAAGCCAGAATGATCTCTTGGGGAATATTGTATATTGTTCCAGTCAGATAAAAATAACTCTGAGGGAACTACACAAATTGTGAAAAATTGCTATGAAGTGATTCACTTCCTTTGCCAGGTTTTGTCAATGTCAAGAAAGAAGCATTTATTTTTCTGCTTAATTCTATTTTTCGCTTCATTGAAACATATAAGTGTAAGAGATACAGCAATGCTCTCGTAAAACATTTCCTGTAAATAAAGATTAAACGTCAAATCAAACTTCTTGTCTATGTAATTTGTTGAGTTACTTACATGTGACACTGTGTGGTGGCACCCACACAGGGTGCATCCGTATTTTTGACAATGTCCTGCCAATGGATCGTGTCTGCATGACACAGGAAACTGTTTGGTCAACATACACGCCTCCACTCAAGGATTCTGTGGAGACGAGAGAGAGAGCATCTCAGTCAATACAGATGCCACGACAGCTGGTTTCCTGGTACTTAACTGTTTCTGCCTGGGAGGATGCACCTAATTCTGCTACCAGGTCCTGATGCATTTTTTAATTGCAGCTTTTTTCGCTGATCATTTTTATAATTAACAACTTGACATGGCCACGCACTGATCGTTCAAGTCAAAATCTATTAACATACTTGAGGATAGATTGGATAGGCATTTATCCTTTTCTGAGGAAGAGAGGGGTTGGGTTTGGTTTTTGAGCGGACTGTCTTTGAGAACTGCACATCTGATAATGGTTGTTGTGGAGCAATATGACACAAAGACTGTGTATTATTGCTGTTATCACAACTTCTGTCTTTTCCCATTTTGTTATTTCTTTTCATTCTTCTCTTCCACACTGGTGAGCGACAGACATCAATTATGCCTCACACCATCACAAACAAAATCCAAGAGGATTTAAAGCCCCAGTTAAGGGACAGCAGTCTAAAATTTGTAATTTTATTTCATCAAGGTGGTTGGAAAAAATCACTGTATTTGTCATCACTAATATGCTCACCTGTCAAAAGCCAATCGTTTGTCAATGATTGACCCCCCCCACACACACACACAACACACAACACAACAACCACACACACACACACATGGTCTCCTGAATGATTGGATACAGGGGATGGTTGTGATTATTGTTGTGCAGGAGTTTAGAGAATGCCTAATCCTGACTTTTATGTGAGAGAGAAAGAGTGGGAAAGAGAAAGAAAGAGAGACAAATAAAGATGGGAGAAAGCCACAGAGAGACGGATGGCAGGAAAGAAAGACAGAATGAAGCCCAGTAGCAGATTTGCATTATTTACAGAGCTTGTGTGTTCTCTATCTCCCTACAAACAGATTACTGACACAGGGCTGAAACCGATGAGACACATTATCATACATGAGGCGCCCTGCCAGCACCACACAGAAACAGCCAAATACAATATCGTCCCACAAAGGCCCGATTAAATGATACTCCTCAGATAATAGGTAGTGGTGGTATTACCTGTACAAGCCCACACCCCCCAATCTCAGCTCCCCCTCTCTATCTTTCTGCATGTGCGGTGGGAGCTAGGGAGAGAAATTAATCCTGCCTCTCACCACAGGAGGGATATCGCTCGGCTAGGAGCAGGCCGCGTCTCAAATTCAAATTGTTTGCACAATGGGATGCTGCTGGCAAAGTAGGGCAGTGGACAAACCAACAGACAAAGCAAAGCAGTTATTATGACAAAAACACCAGCAGGACATCTCAACCCTGGTTAAGCAAGATACAAGTACACGCTCCAGGCATTCACCTTCATACTGGCTGGTTGGAGCCATAATATACCAGATTTAGGTGTAAACATATCCAAGACATAATTAGGCACTGTTCACATCGGCTCCGCTGGGCTTTGAAAGTCTTTATAAATGTACGTACTTTTTCAATAATGTTAAATGAATGAATGAATGGATACATGTCTTAACTAGAGCACAATCTATATGTAAATAAAGTAAGCAAGATGCAGTTTTAAAACGATCTGAACACCACCATTTGACCCTGATATCTTTACTTAACAATGGTAAAATGCAGCACAATGCTGCACAATTAGCCACATAAATTTTTTAATCAATGTATTGTTGTATTCGTTTATGATTTTCTTTAAATCTTACACCTTGAAAATCATTGTCCTTTGACCATTGTGTAGCACTGAAACCAGAGACGAGGCTTGCTCATCTGCATGTGACTTCCTGACAGACATTAGGACATTAGACTTAGCAAACAAGTAGTATAGTGACTTAAAAATTAGAACAATTAGACTCAAGGCAATGTGTCCTTACATGTTCCAACTTGAGCCATGTTCATCACACAAGGCTACAAACATAGTTTTTTATGGATATAACCTGGATATGTAAGCAAAAGAGTTGTTCTTAATGGGTATCAACTGAGCCAAAAAGAATTTCCAGGATTCATATGTGTGGTTGACAAGTGAAACAAGGCATTCCCACTAATCCCAGCTGTCACAACAAGTGATCCTCAACACTATCCAGAAGGCTTCACCATCTTCTAATGCTTCTCACACTCATGGTGCATTTGGATATGTACTGTACACACAACACACTAATTTGCAAGTGTGACATGACAAAGTTCAAGATGCTGGATAACAGTTTAATTGGCTCCTTGCTGGTGCTTTTCCCAGGAGTATTTCCCATGGCCTGTCAACAAGATATGAATAATTAACAGATATTACATAATACGTACAATAACATGCAAAACTCATGCAGGCCTTTCTTTCATTACAAGTAAATGCTTGGCTTGCACATTTGGTTGGTGTGCAGTTGGTGGCCAGGGGGAGATCAACGGTTAAATCCTGTTGTTGATTGTTTAGTGGGTAGAGAAAATGTCTTAATTAGTTTGTTCACGTAGCTACAGCTCGTGTTTCCAAACTACCCCCTCCCCTCCCGATTTGTCCCGAGAGCAACTCCAAGCTTTCTCTGAATGAGTGTATGGCTTCAAAAGGCGCAGCAATCTTCAGTATCAGGCTGCATGACCGTTGGAGGAAAACAATATGAAATTCAGGGAGGCAGAACAAATGTATGCAGGCAATTATTTTGATGGTAAGTGCTTGTTGTGATATTTTTTTTCTTTATTGCAGTGTGGGGATGGGTTTGATTAAGACTGGGAGGCAAATAGCAAACCAATGATCAGAAAAAAGGCATATTAATGAGTTAGTGAGAGAGAATTAATACGTGTTGTGTGGATGGTTTAATGAAGAAATATGTAGGACAACAGAAAAGCTGTAATAAATGGTTGACTTGCTCCAGTGTTGGAGGGCTGCATTATCGAATATCCCCAATAGTATTTATTCTTGAAGAAGATCCATGTGCTGAACCATCAATACATACAAGGAAACACATTCACTCGATATGTTAACTGCAGTCCCTCTTCAGGCCAGGTATATACACACAAAGAAAAACATATTGGCTTCATAAGTAAGAGCAGACACAGTCAGCTGGATAGTATAGAAAGATAGAAAGGCAACAAGAGATTCAGAAAGACACTCAAACAGTCAGGCAATTACAGTAGATAGACAGGTATTCAATCAGAAAGACAGAGGAGTTTCTTGTCTCCTCTAGCAGTGGGACATGGGATTTTACCCTGGGTCTCCACTGTATTGTCTTATTGACTCTGAGAGCTTCAACTTGGTTTCGGCTCAGCACTGTTATCAGCTCAGTGGAACAGAGGGGAGAAACTCTGTGGGAAATGAGGATGCATTCTGGGTCAAAGAGGCTAAATGCTAGGGGCACAGATCCTGCTGTACACCCCAGCAGCAGTGGAAGGCTAAAGTTGTTGCTAGGCTGCACTCAACATACAGACGGGCAGAAATGCCAGAATAAGATATGAGTGCACAAATACAGTCCACACACAGAAGGAAGCATGCTCAAAAAATAATTCACACACACACACACACACACACAAACACACACTCATACACTTGCACACATGGCTCAGGGTTAGGAGTAATGAGGCCAACATTACTATACGTGCCTTGAGCATCAATTAAATTACCAGTTTGCTTTATCTTGTAACCAGAAGGTCACTAATTTGAAGAGCTGGGAAAATGTGGGTGGGGAATGTCAGCATTACTCTGTCGTCCCTCTGCAATTGTTATTATGAATCACTTGAGAAAGACACTTTAGCAGTGACTGATTCAGTGGCAAACAATAGAAAACTATGTACTGGGAAGCTATCTGTTAAAAAAAAGAGAAACTGTACAACTAGGAAGCCTGGCTGTAAAGCATCATGAAGCTACTGCATGTCAACTACTGGTACTGTGCAGTTTCTGTTATTCAAAATAAGCTTGTTAACAATTACAATAGCTACTGTATCTCACTATGTCACATCAGCACCCTTCTCAACTACAGATCCAGCATTGAAGGACAAAATGAAAGTGTAGAAAAGTAGTTCTATAGGGAGGCGAAAAAGACAGAAAGAGTGCAACAAGAAAAAAAACCTTCCAGGCTGCTGACTGGACTGGACCACTTCTCGTACAACAAAAGTGGAATAAATTAAAGAATGAGTGAGTGAATGATTGGGCAAATTAAAGAATGTGCAAACGCTGTTTGGATAGATGATGAATAAATGACTTGGGGTGATTGATGTTAGATGATGGGGGAATGCATGACATGTATTTTATCAGCCATCATCCATCAGTATGAGTGTTCATCTGTCATGATAGATGATGGCTACTAAAAAATAATGAGAAAGAAAGAAAGAAAATGTAAAGAGTGTCTAAAATATGGCTGCAAAGGTTGATTAGATAATTAATGAATTAGTGAATCGAACTGCTTGATGAAACTGACTCGAGACCACAGCCTCTTCATGCACCATCAGCACTCCTACTGAAAAAAGAAACACATGCTTGAACCAACTCTAATAAAAACCTTAATAAACAACCAACAATAAGCTTTAAGAGAAGACATTTCCTGGATTTTCAGACGCTGCTCATGTTGCCACACAGCGCTGCGTCAATCACTGTGCTCTGAGTTGCTCGGTTGCCGACAGGAGATGTCAGGACAGCAAATCTCTGCCTTTGCTCTACAAATAGGTGATCTCCCCTCCCATCCATCATCTGCTGCTGCTGCACAGTTCCATCCTTGCCCTCCTGTCCCCACTGTTGCCAAGGAAATGCGTGCAGATCCCAGATGTAAAGTGTATGTGTGTATTTGTGTTTGCATGTGTGTATATCTGTACTTGCATGTAGGTGAAAGACTGTGCCTGTACACAGGCATGAAAGATTAGTAAAGAAATAAGATCATCAGCGTGTCTATGCATGTAGCTATAGCTATAGTGAGCATAAAAACTGTAATGTACACATAGAAATAAAAAAGAGAGATTGTGTGTTTGCATGCACTTTGTATGACAAATATTTGCTAAATCTTTTCCAAATTATTCTATGCTTGTGGAAAGATTT